TACATGAGAAAACGAGGACCGTCCTTTTCAAATGATGCGTTTTCCTCAAGCAAGGATTTCATCAATTTTTCATCTTCTTTTCCCCAAATTCTGCTTAAAAGTTCTGCCTGTAAATTTCCCGTGGTGTAGTACTCATCCCATACACGTTTTACTGTATTTATCCCTTTCACGTGATTTGCATCTGTTATGATGATTTTAAACGCATCAACAAACCATTGGACATCAATAATAACTGTCTCGTTTAGACCTTCTTCGTTAAAGTAAAGCACTTTTCCGGCGTCGTGATAGTATCGCAACATGTCCTTTGTGCTCTCATTTTTTTCAGTTTCATTGACTGGCATTCTTTTGCAAACATCACGAAAAGGCAAGATACGCTTGATCATTCTATTGTCCTCTATCTCTTGATTCATAAATTTCCATTCGTATGGTATTTTTTCACTCCATTTTCTCGACATTGCAAGGTCTACAATGAATTTTTCAAGTTCCTCTAACGGCTCTTACGGAAACTGTGTATAGAACAAATTGTTTTCACTGATATACTGTCCCAGATTTGAATGAGGCGACAATGTGTTGCGTAGAATTTTATCGAAGGTCTTTGTGCCCTGTTGCAGAGAGTAAATTTTTGTTATTTACAATCACTTAGGTTATTCAAAATCATATCAGACCAGGCTTCTTAATACAGGATGTTGAATATAGCACATGTATCAATTTAAATTAACAAAATGCATACAAATAAAAAAAGTACTATATCCTTTTCTAAATAATCACTATATAACTTTATATGTTCATGCACACGCACCTTTGCAAAGTTCTGAAAAATGATTATCATATTAAGATTTCCTAGGACAATTTAACAAGATACAGTACCGACCAGACCCAACCTGACACCAAAGCAGTCCCAGAAAGCAGTCCCCGGGACTGCTTTGGGACCGCTCTGGGACTGCTGTGGGACTGCTCTGGGACCGCTGTGGGACTGCTCTGGGACCGCTATGGGACTGCTATGAAAAGCAGTCCCAGCAGTCCCAGCTGCCCCTGGGACTGCTTTCTGGGACTGCTTTGTTCACTCATGTGTGACAAGGGTTCTGAGTGACAAGATAGCTCCGCCCCCTTGTGTATTCTGAATTTGCAGGCTCCCTGTTGTTTTGTTTACTTGCAGCAGAGAGGAGTTTAAACTGTTTAATAAGCAAGGATTTCTTATAATCTTTAAATAACTTGAGATTATATTTATTATAGTTAATTTATAGTTCAAGGGACTATATATTTAGACAAATGTAATATAGAATATTTTTAAAAATAATGTTGTTAAATAAGGAAGTCAGGAGGAGATTTTTATTTCTAAAATGTATAAAACTTCAGACTCATGAGAAAATTTATCTACATGTAGATTTATTTTATTATTAAATCTAAAATTAAATACTCAAAAATTGCATTTGGCACTGTTTAAAAAAATCATTGCATTTAGATATAAGATATTTTAATTGAAAAGGCAACACCTTTTACAAGTACCACGCTAAAAGAGTATTCCATGCAACCCTCAAATAAAAATCTAACAATTTATTTTATGACATGAAATAAAATTATGCCACCATTCTTCCGTAACATAAGCAATGTGAACAATTATACGGGAATTTACAGATGGATTAGTTTTTAATTTATAAATAAGTTATTAAAAAAGTAAATTTAAAAAAAATAAATTAGCAGTTAAAAATACCGGGAATTGTGATTTATTTCTTTTTTGTTTTGCTTTTGTTTACCAGCTGGCCGATAATTTGTATAAATAAAATGGTATAAACACCCGCGGTTTCAATTGCCTTTGGGCAGAAAATCAATCATGCATGTTATTTGGGTACACGTATCAGTGTTACACATCATTGAACATGCTGCTCAATTAACAATGACCCTAATTTCAATCTATGTAAAAATTGTAATGCAAAAAAAAAAAAGATTAATGAAATGCGTATAAATTTCTTTCAAGATTAATAAATGTTGAACATACATGTAATCTTATGATTCTATACTGGTCACTAACAAAATTTACAAATAAAACAATAATTTTTAAATTAAAATGTCAGTAAAGAATAATCAATACTGAAAAATATTACTTGGCAAAGTTAGCAATGAATTTTTCAAAAGCCCTAATAAAAAAATGCCTTTAGAGTATCCCGATAGTATTGAAATCGGCCATGATCTATAATGATTAGACCTATTTAAAACTAATTCTGGTGAAATATAATTAATTCAATTTTAATTTTCTGTATAAAAAATAAATAAGGGAGCCAGTGACAAGATAATTGTGATTAAATATTCAATTTCAGTGTAATTCATTTATGTAGGTGTGTAAGCTTTCTTCCTTCAATAAATATTATTTCAAACTGTTTCAAATCTATGCGGTACTGCCCATACATGTAAATGACCTTTGCATTGTAAGGATTCCTGGCATATTGCTAAACAAAAATTCAGCTGCCTTTTATATTTCCATTGTTTATTGGAGATCTCATTTCTGAGTTAGCACCGCCCATTAAATTAATAAACCCCGCCCACTGGGACTGCTTTCTGGGACCGCTGGGACTGCTGGGACCGCTCTGGGACTGCTGTGGGACTGCTCTGGGACCGCTCTGGGACTGCTCTGGGACCGCTGCGGGACTGCTTTAGCAGTCCCAGAAAGCAGTCCCCGGGACTGCTCTGGGACTGCTTTGTGTCAGGTTGGGTCTGGTCGGTACTGTAGACTTGCAACACACAAAAAACCAGAAGACTCTGTCGAGACTGAAGCTCTACTTGATTGTACTTATAGCAAAGGAAGAGAAATAAACATATGCGGTTGGAAATTGAAACTTTACAACTGTTACAGCAATAAATAGAATAATGATCCTTGATAAAGTCTTTTTATGTTCTTAGTGTAGTCTTCTTCTGTTCCAAGTTATATATTGAAATCAGAGCAAAACTGAAGGAGAAGTAGCAATTGTTTTGAAACAATTTTACAGAAAATTCTATTTTTAGTAACCACAGCAACCCCATTTATCGAAATCAAATCCCAATATAAAGAATTATGTATCTTAGTGTAGTCTATTTGTGTGCCAAGTTATATTGAAATCAGACCAAAACTGTAGGAGGAGTAGCATTTTGAAAGAATTTCAAAGAAATTTCTATTTTTAGCAACCACGGCAACGGCGTTCATCGAAATCAAAAACCGATACACAGAATTATGTATCTTAATGTAGTCTACTTCTGTACCAAGTTTTATTGAAATCAGACTAAAACTGAAGGATGAGTAGCATTTTTAAAGAATTTTCACAGAAATTTCTATTTTTAGTAACCACGGTAACACCATTTATCAAAATCAGAAACCGATACACAGAATTATGTATCTTTTTGTTGTTTACTTATGTGCCAAGTTATACTGAAATTAGACCAAAACTGTAGTAGGTGTAGCATTTTGAAAAAATGTTTACAGACAGACGGACAGCTAGACAGACAGACAGACAGACGCAGGACGCATTACCATCGCATAAGCACTTCTGGTCTTTGACAATTAGAGCTAACAAAGAAGTACGTATCAAATTTAAAATGATGCTATGTTATATAATTTGAAATACCAAATACTTTCACTGTACCTGGTCGGTACGATTTTCCCAATGCGTCAAAACTATCATTACGTCAATATTCTCTTTTTCAGGTGGCTGCGAACAATACGTGTGAATCGACTTCAACCAGAATTCAAAGTAATCTGTTGAAAACATTTTTGTTTTAGTTTTATCTTAAATTGACAACTACATGTAATAGTAACAAAACGTTTAATTTCTTAGAAACAATCTTCTGATATACAGTACAACACTGGTATATCAACTGACAGTTTTTGACGCCGGATCTACTAGTCCTAAAAAGTTCACTTTGAACCAATAAAAAGTGACACTGAAATATATATAGAGCTGTATGTCAAGCAATGTTGCCTGCTTTTTTATTGATTCATTCCTGTATTCTAAGGTGAAATAACTTACTAGATTTAGGTGGCCTTTTTGTCAGTGTATTCGAACTTTATACATTAAATGATTTCAAAAGGCCTTAAATTTACAAAGTACAGTCAGTAAATGAAGCCTTCGTCAGCAATTTCAATATATATTTGCGAGTAACAAACCTTTGTATCTCCAACCATTAAAAACAGTATCTTCCTGGTCACACACTTCCTTATCCACCTTCTGGTCCAGACATTTAGAGGCGTCCACCACCACAACATAGAAAGCTCTCCTGGTCAGGTAAATCTGGTGACAGGCGTAGTACGCACACTGTCCAGCGAAGTCAAAAAAGCTGACTGTTTTGGTTATTTCCTCTTCCAATGAATTTTTTGTTTTCCCATGCTTCTTCTTTTTCGAAATATGGTTGTCCGTATCTGATTTAACTGTTATTGTAAACATAAAGGGATATTGTATGTAATTTTTTTTTAAAATTCAAAAGAATGAATGTCTTTGAAAGAACAAATGCATTTTCTTCTTACCATGGTATTATTTCAAAGTTCATCATGATTGTTTATCATACTACATCTATACAGCTACTATACTAAACAATTAGAATTCAAATAAATGTCTATATAATGTATTTAATTTGTGTTGGTTTCCTAAACAGGGGAGAGTTATCCTAAATTTGGGGCTAGTTGCCCATAAATAGGGGACGAATTGTCTCGGGGACGACCTGTCTTGGGGCGAGTAACTTGTCCAGCATTCGCTCATGGCATTAACGCTCACGTGTTTTTTGCATAAATTAAGGTAATATTTTCTTGTAAGAAACATTACTTCAGCAAACTTCAGCACGACGACATATTAATCTAAGATGTCTAATAAGATAAAATACATATCATGTCTTTCCTTGCGCTTGAACGTATTTTTTCTCTAATACGATATACTCGTAAATATGCATGTACATAGGAAACAATATTGCAAAATGTAAACACTATCAAAGCAGTAATAGTATATTCATATGATATTGCAATTGCATTTTCCAATTTTTTGTTAACCTTTCAATTTTCCATCACAAATTTCGAATATTTCCTCGTGTACTTCTAGGCCTTGTGTTGATGGCATGTTCGGTATCTCCTTGCTTTCTGGATTTAGTAAACGTTTAAGAAGTGTGGTTTTCCCCGCCCTAGCACATCCTACGATCATCCCCCGGGCATGGTGTACTGTCTCTGTTCCTCGCTTTGTGTATTTCACGTATCGCTCTCTGGCCTTCCAGTCCCATTGCAATACTTCTCTAGGGACACCAACTGTACAGAATGCGAATAAAAACTCAAAATGGTGTATAACAGTAAAATTGAAACAATGCGAACTTTAATTAAAAAGTACTACGAAAGCCTATTATGATCAATCTAGAGAAAAAAAATAAAAGGCGTTAAAACGCCTTTCGAAAAGGCGTAATAACGCGAAAAAAGCCTTTTGAAAAGGCTTTTTTACGCCTTTCTATTCCACAAAGGCGTTATTACTACTTTCCATTCGAAAAGGGGTTATTACGCATTTCTTTAAGGCGTTAATACGCCTTTATAAAACGCATAATTACGCCTGTCTTAAAAGCGTTATGACGTCTTTCCAAATGGCGTTATTACGCCTTTAAAAAAAACGTTATTACGCCTAACGTCTAAAAGGCGTTTTTACGTCTTTATTTTGAAGACATGACTAAACATATCTAGCCCAACCGAGGAGTGGGGGAGGGGGTGCAGAAATCTTTCTTTTGGGACATGAATTTTACAATTTGAAATAGGACTGATTTTTCAAAAAATAATTGAAACAGATAACATTTAGATTTCCAGGAAAAAAGATTTTTTAATGCGTCATATATTTTCAATGTTGAACCAACTAGGTTCTTCTTAAATACACACCTCTACTAAAGATCATTGATATCAACTGCTCATTATACCTATGCAAATAGTTTGCCTGCTTTTTTTCTTAGAAGAGCGAAAAATATCTTCAAATGACCTGAATTTTAATACATGCCAAGCAAAGCTTCAAGATACATCTGCCTATATAGTATTTTCACAAGTTGAGTGTTGCCTTCTCTTAATACGAATGCAAAAAGTTGTCAGTGAGACGTGCAAGAATATAGAAAACTGCATAAATAAAGATGGTTTAAATTAAAATTTTCATATATATATTAACATAAAATAACCCCATTCCATTTTCCTTTTCAAGTAGGCCTTTTTACAAGGCGAAATAACGCCTTTTGGATAGGCGTAATAACGCCTTTTCAAAAGGCGTAATAAAGCCTTTTAGTAAGGCGTAATAACGCCTTATATAAAGGCGTTATAACGCCTTTTTCCGCTTCATTACTCCTTTTTGAAAGGTTATAACGCCTTTTAATTTTTTTTCTCTCTAGATTGATCTTTATAGGCTTTCGTAGTTGCGAGCACTTGAGTTAGAAAGTGAACTAAATATTATTCAAATTAGATACAAAAACAAGATACAAGAAACAAAATACCTGCTAATCACGTAATATTCATTCTGACACAGAAAAAAATACTAAAAAAAGGGTATCGTGCCTTTTCCTGATGCAAATGAATGAAACTTAATTATTAATCGAGCCGAAATTATTAAGGATTTGGCGACATTAATTAAGGTGTAGATCTAGTTGGACTGTTTTCTTTTTATTTCGTTTGGAGGGGGGATTTAGATGAATTATGACGTATTTAAATAATTCAAGTTTACTTTTTCGTAAACTTTACCTAAATATTAAAATGATTCAGAAATAAAAAGATTTTGATGGAAAAAAATGAGACCATGTCAAAAGTAATTTCGATACCTAATATCTATATATTAAATCAAATATGATTTCAAAGAAAATGCGAGGAGTATGTCAATAGCGTTTTTGAAGACACTATAGGTACTAAGGGTAGATTTCTTTATAATTATTTTTTTAGTTATGGGAAGAACTTTTTTATCGATTTTTGATATCTTTTTGAAAGTGAACGTTAAAATTTTGTTTTTTTCCCGACACATCTTATGACCTTTTTTATATTGTTGTGAAGCATCTTTAAAGGGATTCATTTCTGAAATTCAAGAAATTTATATCATCTTTCATTTAGTAGATCTTGATCCTCAAGCTCTATGTTCAAATTAGGAAGTTTGACAATTACAGTGTTTATTGATCCTATCATGAATATTTTGGTCAGACACGGTACAGTGTGTGATGATGTCCAGCTGTAGTTTGTCTATAAAGAGGTCGTACATCTTCTCGGGCATGCTCGGTACAAACAGACATCTCTCTCCTTCACTCCTTTCATACTCCCACGACCTGCAGTATTCTGAGACCACGTCACGTGACGCCGTGGTCAGGAAAAACTCTAGATCACTGTCCTCCACCAGACACTCCGTAACAAAGGCGTACATGACGTCATGTCGGATTGAATCTGATTTGAAATTGATCATATCGCCCACTTTATGAACGATTTCATCAGGGAAGTCTGCAGTTCTTATTACATCAAAATTGACCTCATTGTTAAAGTATCTTTCTCTAAGCCTGTTAAGCATGGTCCTAAAGGCATCTTCATTTGCATTTAGTAAGTAATCGTCAGCCAGCAGTAAACAGTACAACAGACACCTGGTGTCCGATTTGTATTTGTGGTATTTAACTGCAAATACACAATATAAAACGTTTTCCATCTAACAAAATCAATTCTGAGTAAAAATATAAATTTAAACATATATGTAATCATCTGATGCCTTCGTGTATGGAAGGTTTTCGTAAAAGTTGACTTTTTCGAAACGAAATCCAGGGTCAAAGGGTGAAAAATATTATTTTTCAAAGGAAAGACCTAATCCAATAATATACCCGTGAAAAAGGAAGGCCAACGCAATTACCATTCTTAAGTTTAGACAAAGTTAGTTTAAAAATGTGGGTCTTTACATTTTTCCATTTGAATACATTGATATTGTTTTCATATAGGATATCCCATGGTTTGTTTTTGGATATGATTTTTATCCAACGAGTTGTGTGATTTTTATTCCCGAGCCTTCGGCCCTCGGGCTGATATTGATGTCTCGGGTTGATACAGGATATGATGTGGAAAGGGTATGTTTAATTATGTTTATTACGATACTTAGTAATAAAATACAGAACACATTAAGATGTGAAGAAAAAAAAGTAAATAATCATGCACGGACTTCTTTCATGATCTATTGTCTGAAACACCTTGGGTTTGTTTCTGCATGTAATTCTATTTCAAATGCGCTTAATATGTAATTTGAAATTAATCAATTATTTGTCAATTAGATTTTCCTTACATTCAAAAAGTAAAAATCAAAAGAATATGTAACCTTCAAAATACGTGTATGATCACATGTACTGTTTTTGAAGTTTAATTTTGTAGGTGTGTGATATTGATCCATATCAGCCATAAAAATCCATATAAGCCCTGCAGGGCTGATATGGCTATTGTGATGTCAGGCATATCGCGCATGCAAAAATCCTTTATTTATTACCAAGTATGTAATAATATATTAATACTGCATGTAGTTGAGTGTAACAATGAAACTTTTCACCCCAAGAAAACCATTGTCAACCGAGGCGGCGCCTCGGTTGACAATGGTTTTCTTGGGGTGAAAATTTTCAATTTTACACTCAACTACATGCAATATTTATTATATTATACTGAATGTTTTATACAAATACATATAAAAGTGAACCGTGCGCGCATAAATTCTGCGTAGTCGCTATTTTTTGTAATACCACCCGTCGTCAAGCAATGTTGACTGTTGTTTCGCTGGAGGGCGTGGCTTTATTATTCAGCGGGTAATAGTGTTTTTCAGCAATTGTTTTTCGACCAATCAGATTCAACTAATTTACATAAAGTATAATATTATATAAATATTGCATGTAGTTCAATATAACATTTGAAATTTCCACCCAAGAAAACCATTGTCAACCGAGGCGCAGCCGAGGTTGACAGTGGTTTTCGAAGGGTGAAAATTTTCAATTTTTCACTCAACTATACATGTAATATTTATAATATTTTACTGAATGTTTGATACAAAAACATATATAAATGAACCGTGCGATCATAAATTCTCCGCAGTGGCTATTTTTTGGAATATCACCAGTCGTTAAGCAATGTTGACTGAGCTACGCTGGAGGGTGTGGCTTCGATATCCAGCGGGTAATAGTGTTTTTTTTTTTTTTTTTTTTTTTTTTTTACAAATGATTGTCGACCAATCAGATTCAACTTATTTACATGGAAGTATAATTAATATAATAAAATATTTTTCGAATTTCCACCTATCAATACAATACTGCCTTGCTTTTTTTTTTCGGTGGACTGCCCTTTTGAAAGATCAAGAAAAATTACTTTCCGACTTACTTGATTTTCTATATGCCTTGTTATTTATAACGTAAATATCAGTGTGAGGATGGAGGCCTATACAGGATCTCACGATGTCAGGTCTAGCGTCGGATTTGTATCTCCACAACCATTTCACATGTTGAGAACTGTCTGATCGTCTCTGTATCCTCGCTTCTATTTGTACTAAATTCTTTAAGAATTCTCTACGTTCATTTTCTGTTCCTCGTATGATATCCATGGGAACCATCACTAAAATTTTACATGATATAAATAAGTTATTGTTTATTATATATGTATTACACTTTTATACTTTGTGCATTTTTCACAAATTGGTTGCAACGATTTAGAAATTAATACGAACAAAGATACCAAAATATTTTATTATCTTCTACATTCATTAAATCATCGTAATTTATTTAGATATTATTAATATTCTTTGGTGGCATATTAATGTCAACCAAATAATTATTTATCACCATATTGATATGATAAATATCAATCGACATTAGTAGATAATATATTGTAACGTAGGATGAGTATTGTTATGTTGCCAATTACTGTCATTTCAAAATTACAATCATTAAAATTTATCTTTAGTGATTTTTGCTATAAATCATATTGTTTTATTTTTACTTATTTAAATGAATGATTAATTATTTTTTGTTTATCAATCAATAGGTCAATAATTAATTATGATACACTACAAAAGAATTTTTTATAAACTTATGACTCTAGACATTTATTGTTTTACTTTTGGCATGCCAATTACCGATAACCGATAGATTAAAATAATTGGATTTTGAAGTAAAGCATATTTGTTCACTTATTTCATATTTGTCTGAAAAAGTATTTTAAATGATAATATATAATGACTTTAATAAAAATCTTTCACTATAAAGAGTATGCTCGTCAAATAGAATGCACAAGTTTTCTTTTAAGCATTTGTGACTTTGATGAGAGATCAGCATAGTTTCAACATGACGTCGAAAAACCAATAAGGCATCATGTATGGAAAAACGTAAGAGTAGATTTTATCGTGACTGCAATAAATCACACTTTTGAATTTGTAAAAATATGCTATAATTCTTAATATATACTAACAGAACTTGGATATTTCATTAAAAATCTCTGTGTCCTCCATGGTAACGTGAATCAGTATGTTCAACTGCAGACGCTGGATCAATAGGGAATCACAGTAATGGGTTTTACCGATGACACACTTTTCTCCAGGAGATTTGTTGTATCTCAGTGATCTCAGGTATCCCCATGTGTTCATAAAACTAAATAAATAAAACATGGCGTCAGGAGTATCGATGCGATGCAATATTGAATGCATGGTATCCTTCTCTGTCTCAGAAAGGAGGTCTGTCCGTACATCCCTAAGTAAATAAAATGACACTTGATCCTTTATCTGCTTTGCTTCTTCACATGTTACAGGAAGACGTATTTTAAATACGCTCTGTCTTATCTCATTCAGCATGTCTAGCCACTCTGTGTCAGTGAAGTCAGGAGGACCGGAGTCAGAACACAGAAAACAGAATAACACCGACACCTTGTCATCAGTTAGTTCGGAGAATTGATCTAAAATACACAAACATAACACAGAAAATAATAATATGTTAAAATCCATGTACAGTCGTTGTATCCGTTGTGTAGTTTTGGACAATTTGGCGTTAGAAAACGGAGAAGATGGTAAGCCATCTCCTGCTGACAATCAAGTACCGCAGAACAGTAAAGGCAACATTTTCTATAAAAACTCTCGGAATCCGATACATTTAATGTTTAAATAACACTTTGTTTTTTTAGCAAGACACTCTACCTTAAAAAGCTACTTGTTATCTTGAAGAGGATGTCCATCGCTCTTCGAATCTGCTTTTTTTTTTTTACATCATGTGGCCCTTTAAAGTTACATGGGCTCCGATTTTAGGTCCAAAAATGAAATGTTAAATTTAATCAAAAAGTGCAAGGGCAAGGCAAACAAAAAATTAACTGCACAATATTTTAATTTGTCCCTATGTATCTATACTTTCTTAATATTGAAGCTTTTTCAGCTAGTTTTCCGAAATAATTAAGTTATTCAACTAAAACAGACAGAAGTATATGAAAAATAGGATATTTTCCTAATTTCATCGGGAATTCTAAATTGGCATCACTTTTTGAAAATGGTACAATAAAATAAATAAATCAAAATAAAAACATACTTTTTTGATCGTCGCCTTGCCCTTGCACGTTTTGATTAAAAATTAAAATCAGTCTAATACGTAATATCGCGGTTACCTCGCAGTTATCTAACTTACTACCGCTCTTTTGCGGGGGAGTCGAGAAAGCTCAAATCTCCCGAGATAACTGGGGCACATGGCATTGTTTACAGAAGTGACAATTGAAAGATTTGAACAATTTTATTCCGAAAGTACAATGAGTGCCAAGAATTGAATTCCAAATAGTAGATTGTCAAATAAGGAAAGCTTATATTATTTTCTAAGCTTTAAAAAGCGACGATTTTCAATGAAAATTTAAGGTAGTACGAGTGTGAGATCAAAGTAATGGAAAACAAATGAATTTGGTATTAACGGATACACATTTGTATAAGCAATGCATGATTATAATATAAAGAAAAAGAGTTTAGCTGTTTGCCCCTAGTGGATGCCAAACTAAGGGAGGTAACTCTGTGTGATATTTTCCTTAAAAATATAGTTCGAACACCAACTTAAAAAATATGTCAAAGATTATGTAAAATTTAAAAATATCTTTTTATTAAACATGGAACATATGTTCTAAAATCTTAAAACAATAACTTTTTTTAAACAGATTCTAAACTGTGCTTGCAGCGCCACCTATGACGTCTAATTTTTCTCACCAAGACACATAAGTTGTGGATCTCAATCAAATTATAAAACATAGACAGAGTAATGAAATCAGAAAAAAACTATTTATTTTCATAAAACATAACAACAATCAATCAATTTGTCCAAATTTCAGAAAAAAAGAGTGAAGCTATTTTGAAAATATTTAACCCAAATTTCCTCTGATCAGCTTTTCACTGCAAAATTCTTGTGTTAACAACTGCTCTAAATTTGTTTTCGTTTATAATTCAATAAAAACAACTGAAATGGAAAATGGACACGGTACAATATTCTATGAACTATATATTAC